AGATGAAGTGCGCTGTCCGGGATGCGCTCGGTGAGCCAGCAGATCTGCAGAAGTCCGAGTTAGTTCTGTTGAGGAGAAGCAGTTTGTCCATTTTGTTGGCCAGAGAGCGGACATTCGCCAGGTGGATTGAAGGGAGGGTGGATTCCCGCTGTCTCAGCTTAACCAGCGCGCCTGCACGTTTTCCCCTGCACCGTTTCCAAAGAATCCTAAACAGAGCTGCCGCTCCTCCAACTAGTAACTCCAGGAAAGTTCCAGCATCAATAAAGAGCAGTGGAATAGTATGAGCAGTTGAAAGTCCAATGTTTAAGAGCTCTTCTCTGGTAAAAGTTACCAGAGAGGGACGGCAGAAAACAGCGTTAATTAACAAAAGCACTACGGAGCGTAACCCCGGGGCGGCCGTCTGCGGTGCCATCTTGGCCATCACTGAACCGACTATATTACCAAGCACTTAAGATCCACAGTAATCTTCCAAAGCGGTCTCATCATTGCAGTGCGCTCACACGCACAAATGCTCTGACTTATCAGAACTACGTAAACAGTCATACTATTGCATTTTACTTTCAGATTCAAAATAGCTCTTCACCGGCACTGAAAGGTCTTCTTCCGACATACAATATGAGACCACTACGCTTCACTACGTCAGTCTCACAGGCACTCATTCCAGTTCCATCATACAAAAACAACTACGGTCAGAAATCTTTTTTCTATATTTACACTAAAATTTGGAATGACATTCCCCATCATATTCGGACATTATCATCCATCACATATTTCAAAAAGTCATATAAACTGTTTCTTCTTAACACTCATACTTGTACACATTGATTGTTCATATATTGTTTTTAGTCTTGTTTTCCCGTACTTAATGTTTCACTTGTTCACTTGAAAATGTGTTGAAATTGTGTTTATTGTTCTATGTTGCTGCAGAACAGGAACCTGCTGTAAACCAGTTTTTAAACTGAGTCAGGCCCGTTTACTGTAACTAAATTGTTGCTCTTAAACTTTTCCTTTTTTGAGCAGCCTGTTAATAAGGAATTTCAGTAATCCAGCCTAGAAATAACAAATGCATGGACTAGTTTTTCTGCATCATTTTTAGACAGGATGTTCCTGATTTTTGCAATATTACGTAGGTGAAAAAAGGCGTTCCTTGAAATTTGCTTAATGTGAGATTTAAACGACATGTCCTGATTAAAGATAACTCCAAGATTCGTCACAGTGGTGCTGGAGGCCAGGGCGATGCCATCAAGGGAATCTATATCTTTAGATAATGCGTCACGGAGGTGCTTGGGCCCCAGAACAATAACTTCAGTTTATCTGAGTTTAACATTAGAAAATTACAGGTCATCCAGGTTTTAACATCCTGAAGGCACATTTGAAGTTTAGCTAACTGATGAGTTTCATCTGGCTTGATCGATAGATATAACTGAGTATCATCTGCATAACAGTGAAAGTTTATGGAATGTTTCCTGATAATAGGAAGCATATACTGTATAAAGTGAAGAGGATTGGTCCGAGCACAGATCCTTGTGGAACTAACTAACTTTGGTGTGCATGGAGGACTCATTGTTAACATGTGCAAACTGAAATCGATCTTATAAATAGGAGTCCAGTCTTTGTAATACGATCTGATGGTCAATGGTATCAAAAGCAGCACTAAGGTCTAATAAAACCAGTACAGAGACAAGTCCTTTGTCTGATGCACTTAGGAGGTCATTAGTAATTTTCACCAGTGCTGTCTTTGTGCTATGATGAACTCTAAATCCTGACTGAAAATCCTCAAATAAACTATTTCTATGTAGAAAGTCACACAGCTGTTTGGCAACTGCTTTCTCAAGGATCTTAGAGAGAAATTGAAGGTTAGATATAGGTCTATATTTGGCTAAAACATCTGGATCAAGGTTGGGCTTTTTCAGAAGAGGTTTAATTACAGCTACTTTAAAGTACTGTGGTACATTGCCTGTTGATAAAGATAGATTGATCATATCTAGTAGAGAAGTGCTGATTTAGGGTAAACTTCTTGGAGCAGCCTAGTCGGGATGGGGTCTAAGAGGCAGGTTGATGGTCTAGATGAAGAAGTTAGTTGGTAAAGATTGAGTTGATAGTTAGAATTTTATCATTAAAGAAGCTCATGAAGTCGTAACTACTGAGAGCTATGGGAATACATGGCTCAATAGAGCTGTGACTCTCTGTCAGCCAGGCTACAGTGCTGAAAAGAAACCTGAGGTTGTTCCTATTTTCCTCTATTAATGACGAGTAGTACGCTGCTCTGGCATTACGGAGGGCCTTCCTATAAGTTTTAAGACTATCTTGCCAAATTAAACGAGAATTTTCCAGTTTGGTGGAACGCCAATTCCTCTCAAGTTTCCGCGATATTTGCTTTAATTTGCAAGTTTCAGTATTATACCATGGAACCAACCGTCTTTGTTTTATTATTTCTTTTTTAGAGGGGCAACAGAGTTGAGTGTCATTCGCAGCGAGCCTGCAGCACTATCAACAAGATGATCGATTTGGGAGGGACTGAAATTAGCATCCTCCGTTACTAGAAATCAGCATTGACTGTATAACTGTCAAAAGTCATACACGAATGATTAGAAACTAAGTCAGACACATGCACCAAGCAAGCTCAGCAATCTGGGTTTAAATGCAAATACAAAAACACTCTGCAACTGGATATTGGACTTCCTCACAAACAGACCCCAGTCAGTTCGGATTGGTGGACACACCTCCTCCACTCTTGGAGTTCCTATCACTCCATCATGGCCTATGGCCCTTGGGGGATTCAGGGTCTTATGGTTAGGTGGGCAAAGCTCCACCAGAGGCCAGCAGTCCTTTGATTGGGCTATGTCTCACTAAGACATTAGATGGCCAAATTGTGAGAAGTAACAAAGTCATCAAGAATCAAAGATTTGTCTGACAGTGAGACACTTATCAAGTTCTTAAAGGGTCATTTCAGTATTTTTAAACATTGGCCCTAATTCACATATGTTGGTGTGTAAATTACTTGTAGGTACAAAAGGTTTTGAATCAGTGCAGTAGATGCTTCAGCCGGCAGCTGGGCGATTGCCCCTGTTAAAATGACGTCCACAAAAGTGCTTCTTTTTATCATTGACAGGCTCAGACTGTTATACCAGGGGAAGCAGCACTCCAGAGACGATGTGCGCATTTACGCACGAGCCGCAGCAACATAAATTAATAATTAAAAATCTCCTGCCACACCAACAGGATCAGAGGTGGAAAGTAACGAATTACAATTACTCACGTTACTTGAATTGAGTAGCTTTTTGTGTACTTGTACTTTTTGAAGAAGTTTTTTAAATCTGTAATTTTTCTTTTACTTAAGTATGTTATGTTTAAAGTATTGTACTTTGCTACATTTTCAATCATATCCGTTACTGAGTAAAAAATGTGCAAGGAAAAACTTGCAACTTTGGCTTCAAGTGCAACAGAACAACAGCTTTATCATGCAGTGTAAGCTGTGAAAAAATGCTGTATTAACTTTCTGCTAATGCAAATTGAACATTTCCTGCAATGTGGCTACGCAACAAGACAACCGTCATTTTCAGCAGTTTACTGACAGCGGACCAGTTTGAAATATTGCAGTGAGTAATACAACAGTCAGCAGCAGACACAGAGAGCTGTTAGATAACGAGCTGCATGCAGACAGGCTGCACACCTACACCTTCTCAGCCAGGTAACCAACTCCTTTCACTTTCGCTGTTTGCAGCTGTGTGCAGCATAAAGTCAGATCATGACTGCTCACATAATTATGGAAAATACCTATAACTGCCTGACAGTAGTTTGTTTAGCTGGCCCAGACGTCTGTGCCCTGTGGTATCAAAAGGCATCTGCTGTTACCACCAGTCACTATAGGTGTCTCATGCACAATAACGGGCAGCTGCATAATAGCGCCAAAACCGGTTGATTAAATCAGACTTACATTTACAATTACAGATTTTAGCCATCATTCCTCAGTGAACTCCTTGGCTGCGCATTTTCTAGTTAAGTAGGCCTGTTTAGTATAGCTATGTAGATTTATCATTATGGATTTAGGCCTACCATGTTTTTAAGGAGTCTGTTCACACTGATATAAGCTAATAAAAACATTCATTTTGCGAAAGTTGAAAATATTAAACAGTAATATGGCAATTGAAAGTCCGGCCCCCACAGTGTCTGCTTAGAACTAATGTAGCTGAAGACCCCTGATGCATCATGAGAAAGCTAGTGCAGTGAAAATCATCCAAGATCAAATGTGGACACTCATGTGCATCAGTCTCCACAATGGACTGTGAAGGGGCTTAAAATTCAAGATGCTTTGCTCCTAATAGCCAAAAGACATCACTGCATGACAATATTGGTTGGCATTAGCAACCTGCTGGTAACTAGTTATTTATTCTACTAATGCTTATGATATCCCATTAAAATGACCACCTGTTTGAATGTAAATAGGGATATGACTTCATACAGTTCAGTGTTTCCCATTTTCCCAGTCCAGTGCGGCCCGCCAAAGTCTTTGGGCTACTTTTTACTTTTACTTAGGTAGATTTGTATAACAGTAACTTTACTTGTACTTAAGTAAAAGTACATCAAAGTACTTTTACTTGAGTAGAATATTTTTGTACTCTTTCCACCTCTGGCCAGACTCTAATGTTAATTCATGTTCTGTGTTCTTCTACACATCCAAAAGCTCTCACACACAGTCCAGGATCATACAGATCATTGCAGTAAAGCAACCGTCGTCCTGATCTATCCTGAGCGCCGTCTGAGCGTCTAAACATGGATTATAGAAGCTAAAAATTTAATTTGTCCCACGATATTTGCTGTGACATTACTGCACGGATGGAAACATTTAAATGACTGGCAGCAGCACTGTCAAAAATAGGGTTTCTTCTAATGCACTTCTATTCTTTCTGTACTTGTGTGTGTGTGTGTGTGTTTGTGTGCAGGAGCATAGGACTGGGGGGACAAAGGGGAATGAGTATGCACACCCACTCACTACTCACCTAAAGTACTTGACAGTGTATGTGTATTTTGATGCCTTAGTAGTCCAGAATAGGGTGGTTTTAAAGTCCAGAGATATCCAGTGTACTTCCTCTGCAGCCGGCACAAAGTTCTTATCTATGAATACAATATAACACAGCATTATATTCCACTCATCCTTGATGTCTGAATATTCTCCATTCCTGTTTCAGTTTTTTCAATGAGTGATCGTAATGTATAAACAAAACATACATCAGTTTTGATAAATCAGCTGGAGAAAAACTTTGACAATCACATCCTCATCCTTTTCTTTCTCATAAACAAAAGTGAGCAAAGCTGAATATGAGCCAAAGGTAAGAGGTTCCTTAATAGTAAATAGTAATGATTTTTATAGAGTTTGAGATACTGTACGTCCAGCAATATTCTTGTAACATTCCATTAGGTTCACATTGAGTTAAAAACAACATCTAAAGAATGTTGTGAGACATTTTGTTTGCTACATTAGTAGGACCAACATTCCATCTGTCATGATTAGGTAAATAGCGTCATGGAACATTTACTGATTCCACCTGCATGTTTTTTAAAATATTTTTTGTCTTTATTTGATAGAACAGCTGAAGAGAGACAGGAAATGTGGGAGAGAGACGTGACCTAACCGGCGCCCCACACCTGCATGTTTTAAATACTTCCCCTCCACAGAACAACTGGAGAATGTTACAACTGTGCAAAGTTATTGTTGCATCAATCGCATGAATATCCTCCCTTTGTAAACATAATTACTACATGAACATTTACCAATATACACTACCGTTCAAAAGTTTGGGGTCACCCAAACAATTTTGTGTTTTCCTGAAAAGTCACACTTATTCACCACCATACGTTGTGAAATGAATAGAAAATGGAGTCAAGACATTGACAAGGTTAGAAATAATGATTTGTATTTGAAATAAGATCTTTTTTACATCAAACTTTGCTTTCGTCAAAGAATCCTCCATTTGCAGCAATTACAGCATTGCAGACCTTTGGCATTCTAGCTGTTAATTTGTTGAGGTAATCTGGAGAAATTGCACCCCACGCTTCCAGAAGCAGCTCCCACAAGTTGGATTGGTTGGATGGGCACTTCTTGCGTACCATACGGTCAAGCTGCTCCCACAACAGCTCAATGGGGTTCAGATCTGGTGACTGCGCTGGCCACTCCATTACCGATAGAATACCAGCTGCCTGCTTCTGCTCTAAATAGTTCTTGCACAATTTGGAGGTGTGTTTAGGGTCATTGTCCTGTTGTAGGATGAAATTGGCTCCAATCAAGCGCTGTCCACTGGGTATGGCATGGTGTTGCAAAATGGAGTGATAGCCTTCCTTATTCAGAATCCCTTTTACCCTGTACAAATCTCCCACCTTACCAGCACCAAAGCAACCCCAGACCATCATATTACCTCCACCATGCTTAACAGATGGCGTCAGGCATTCTTCCAGCATCTTTTCATTTGTTCTGCGTCTCACAAACGTTCTTCTTTGTGATCCAAACACCTCAAACTTGGATTCATCCGTCCACAACACTTTTTTCCAGTCTTCCTCTGTCCAATGTCTGTGTTCTTTTGCCCATCTTAATCTTTTTCTTTTATTGGCCAGTCTCAGATATGGCTTTTTCTTTGCCACTCTGCCCTGAAGCCCAGAATCCCGCAGCCGCCTCTTCACTGTAGATGTTGACACTGGTGTTTTGCGGGTACTATTTAATGAAGATGCCAGTTGGGGACCTGTGAGGCGTCTGTTTCTCAAACTAGAGACTCTAATGTACTTATCTTCTTGCTCAGTTGTGCAACGCGGCCTCCCACTTCTTTTTCTACTCTGGTTAGAGCCTGTTTGTGCTGTCCTCTGAAGGGAGTAGTACACACCGTTGTAGGAAATCTTCAATTTCTTAGCAATGTCTCGCATGGAATAGCCTTCATTTCTAAGAACAAGAATAGACTGTCGAGTTTCAGATGAAAGTTCTGTTTTTCTGGCCATTTTGAGCGTTTAATTGACCCCACAAATGTGATGCTCCAGAAACTCAATCTGCTCAAAGGAAGGTCAGTTTTGTAGCTTCTGTAACGACCTAAACTGTTTTCAGATGTGTGAACATGATTGCACAAGGGTTTTCTAATCATCAATTAGCCTTCTGAGCCAATGAGCAAACACATTGTACCATTAGAACACTGGAGTGATAGTTGCTGGAAATGGGCCTCTATACACCTATGTAGATATTGCACCAAAAACCAGACATTTGCAGCTAGAATAGTCATTTACCACATTAGCAATGTATAGAGTGTATTTCTTCAAAGTTAAGACTAGTTTAAAGTTATCTTCATTGAAAAGTACAGTGCTTTTCCTTCAAAAATAAGGACATTTCAATGTGACCCCAAACTTTTGAACGGTAGTGTACATGCATACATTTCTAGTATAGATAGTATATATGTATCCTTATCTACATTGTGTATCCGTCTGATTCTTTCCCTGCAACAGTAAATAGGCTACTACTTATATGCAACAATGGGGGTTGTGCCAAGGAGTGACCAGTGGTGGCCATGGCAACAGAGACTAAGGTCTGACCATCACACAATGACCAACACAATGGAGATGAATGAATACACACTGAGACTGTGCACAGTGAGGTCTGTGTAAATTCCAATTACCTCCACTGTATTGGTGTGGAGGCAGAAATCTCACAGGCAAGTATTTCAAAAGCTGGATGAATAAAAGCAAAGCTTTATAGCGCAGATGACTCGCCTGAGCCAGGCCCACCTCTGCCTGTGTCTGTGTTAAGTGTGCAAAAAAACAGTTTCTGTGACAAAAGTGAGGAGCGGATTGGGTCAGATGTGCGACCAGGCTGGGCCAGTTAGACCTGATCCCCACCTTCACCAGCTTTATGAACTTTGTCAAAAAATACGCCATTAGCTTTCCACTATAGTCAATAAGTTTGCAGTCAAAAACTTCTCTGGAGATGGTCAAGAGTCGGTGCAAAAGAGTTTATTCCAAAACAGGACAAATAAACCCGTACAACATCCCAGCAGGCCGGAGGATGAAGTCAATCCTATGGTCTGCAGACGCCTTATATATCCATTCTGGGCTGGTGTGCCCACTCCTTTCTTTATGGTGAATTTCTTATCCTCTGCTTTTATGCTACTTACACGTATTGTTTTACCAATTAACAACGTTTTCCAGCTATCATTCATCATTCTGTGTTGTTGACTTTCTATATTTTTACATTACAGGATAAGAAATTCCTCATTTACATTTCAACTCAAATCTCACTGTTTTTTCAAAAGTTATGCATGCATAATCTGACACACAGTTATATTTCTTAAAAAATTACTACAAGAATAACATATGTAGTGCTGTGCCTTTCATTAATGCTTGGTTTCTTACAGTAATAGTTATGCTGGCTGTTTTCTACTTTCTGCTTATCATCATTTGTTCATCCACTTTCTGCCTCAGAAGCTCAACCTTTCTGCCATGCGAAGCTAGCAAATGCTCCTTCAGCAAGTTCACCCAATGCTCACATGGTGCTATAAGCAAGTTCACTCAAAGCTCACACAGGCTATAAGCATCAGAGGTTGGAAGTTGACAATCAACCCCTTAATCAGTAATTAAGCATGTAGTCCTAGTTGGTAATTAAACATGTAGTCTTAATATCAGCAGACTAACACATCAGCAGTTCATCATGTAGTCATAAATCTACAGTAGATAACAGTTGAACAAGGCGTGCATAGTCTCAGTGTCTGCAGTCAATGCTCCCACTCAGGGATCTTAACCACAGTGAGCTTGTTACTGCATTCATGACTACAGTACAGCACTTTTAAGTAAAGACAAGACACATCTAGGTGAAAACAAAGTGATTAAGAATGATTAATACTAATTAAGGATAACAGAATGATTAAAAATGATGAATTAAGAATGATTATTTATTAATACTGATTAAATTTTGCTGGTGTTTTTGATGATGTCTTGCTGTGCTCATTCTGTTCCCAGAGCACACGTGCCTGCTTACACACACAACCATGTGCTACTGCCTGTGGGCAGTTAGATACAAAAAGGAGCACACACACACTCAGAGCTATAGAGTTTTAACACTATGATCTTAACTTTACACTATAAAATAACACTTTAAATGATGACAATGTAGACCACCGTAGACCACCATCGCTCTAGTAATTAATGATAACAATTTAGGCTATAATGCTCTAAAATTCACAACAGCGGTCTCTGGCTGGCTACCACACAAAACTGTCTCGCTGCTGGAATGTTGTATATAGTCTTTTCTCATTTGTATGCCATGCCTGCTAGCAGTATTTTATTTTTATTGTCAAGCCATATAGTAATAATTGATTATTATTGTTTCTATGTTTGTCTATGTGTTTCACAATTATTTATCTTTAAGTTCAGTTTTTATGGATCAATAACAATCATAAATCCTTTTTAATATTTCTAATCTCAATCTAATGGGAATGTTGGGACATGTTACATAAATTATCTATCTATCTAGTGGTCTTACCTGCAGTAGTAATGATCCAAACAGATAGACAGACTCCCAGATAAAGCACAGTTTTCAGAGATGCCATGGTAACACAACCCAAAATCCTTTCTGCTTCAGTCGTTGATCTTGTTTAAACTATCTGAACACAGGAAAAGTAGATACAATTTTCTCTGGGTAGAAGCTGCTCAGAGTGTGGGAGCTAGGGGACTGTTCAGGGTTCCGCCTGCTGATCCCTCCCACATGACTGCCTGCTGATGTAGGATTGGACAACACTTTGCTCAGTTTTAACTCCTCCTTTTACCAAAACACAGATGAAAAACATGAATGTCCTTGGGCTGACACATAGCGCCCCTTGAAAACTTGGAAATTGTCCCTGACTGTGCAGTGTGTAAACTAAGAGAGAAACATGGGTCATTTGTTAGTAGTACCTACACCCACCCTGACAAGAACCAAATAGTTGGATCTTTCTTTGCAGGAAGGAGATTCTCAGCAACAGGCAGCTCATGTACTCAGCAAACAGCTTGATACCCTGTTGCCTTGATGGCTGATAGACTTTGTCCCAAGTAATCCAGTTAAGTAGTGGCTTTTAGCTCACCAGGAAACCAGATATGGCACACCAATACCTATACCAATAGTTAAGAATTTAAATGAATGTAAATGCTCCGTACTTGTTTAGCGCCTTTCTAGTCTTTTCGACCACTCAAAGCGCTTTTACACTACATCTGCATTCACCAGTCATACACTGAGCCTAAGTGCTCAAACGGAAACTAACATTCACACTCACTCATACACTGGCGGAATAGCCGCCAGGGGCAATTCGGGGTTCAGTATCTTGCCCAAGGACACTTCGACACGCAACTAGGGGGAGCCAGGGATTGAACCGCCGACCTTCCGATTAACGGCCAACCCGCTCTAAATTAAATTTAATGAATCTCAGCAGATTGGAGGCTCTACCTCCTGAGCTGCGGTTGTGGCTCAGGAGGTAGAGCCTCCAATCTGCTGAGATTCATTAAATTTAAATTTCCAATTATTGATATACCTAATAAATACAGTTTTTGTTGACTGTTTTGGTACTATTAGTGTGGTAAAATTTCACAACTCTTAGTACAAAACTCCAAACTCATCACACTTAACCTAACCTGTAAAACAGCCAGTCTTAAATTCAATACATGCCATTGTGCATTCATGTAGATGGTAAACATCTCTCAACACAAGCCATTCATTTAAAATCTAAGTTTCTCATGAAAAGTCATAAGAAGAAATGGTTTAATCACCAAAACAGAACATAATGATATCTTTTCAGTTTAGTTTTAACTACCAATGAATTCAATAACAAACAATGGGAGATACATGTTTCAAAGTACTGAAATTAGTATGCTACAGTACTGTAAAAGACAGATTACACAGTTTTCACATTAGGCAATACACTTACATTGCCCAGCATTTACATAATCTTATCATTTCCATAATATCTATCCTATATGTAATCAAGTTGTGATCAATGAAGACATCCTCTACAATCAGTGATGCAAGAAACAAACTTTTACTGTATTTTACTACTATAACATATTATTATGGATGATAATCATGTAATGTATTTTACAGTATTTTATTGTACCTACTGTAATCATTGAAGTAGTTATTTGTGGCTCTTTTGTTAGAGCACTAAGCTACCAACACTAAGGTTGTAGGTTTGACTCCTACAGAGGTCACATACAATAAAATTCTCATACCTTAGGGTGATGATTCTGAAGTTTTGAATCTGAATATATCAAATGAAATAACAATACATACATGTATATTAAGCACATGTTTCAGCGATTATCAATTAGGAACAATTTGTTTTTTAACAATAGAGAAGAAAATCTTATCCAAAGTTATGCATTGCATACTTTGAATGAACATGATGTATTTCAATGTGAAACATGTCTTTCTACATGTTTTTGTTGTATCCAGTCAATGTCAGATGTAGATAGTTCTGAAAAAAGGTATTTTTTGATGATCATAGACGTCACTACATAGATCTGAAGTTAAAAGTTCCAAATCAGGCAGTGGGATGACAGGTACTGTGTGTGTATCACAGCCTGATGAATCTTCTTCCTCTGCTCTGTTGTTGCACAGAAACTATTATAGAGATCAGTAAGCCTCACTGTTGCACTGTTCCAGTAAGGTTTAATATAAACTACAGTGAACAGCTGTTTAAGGAAATTACAGAGACTTTTGAAATTATATTTTTGTGAACTATTTTTAAAGATTTTCTTTTTCTTTGGTACATAAATATGTGTGAAAATAAACTTTGACATGAACATTAGAAAAAACACCTTATCAGACCAGATTCAAGAGTTCTAAGATTTCCTCTCACTATTACATATGTTTTAAAGAACAGGAACTGAGCATTTAATTATCTTGTGGTTAACCCATTTCTACCATTTGTGGATAAGTAGGAGGGTAAGGATAACAACCAGCGCACGCATGTTAGCAGCATGGAATTTCTAACAACTCAATTTACCTGAATTTAACCTTATTTTCTAGTGACCTATTTCTTGGACCATGAATGGCAGCTGAGAATCTAAGAAAGTATTGAAAGCTCCGGTAGTCATGTTTTTAAAAATATTTCTGTAACAGTTAATTAAATGATGGACTGGCGACCAGTCCAGAGTACCCCACCTTTCGCCCGATGTCAGCTGGGATTGGCTCCAGCCCCCCACGACCCAGTACGCAGGATAAGCGGTTGACAATGGATGGATGGATGAATGGTGTAATATGAAAATGGTTAATCATAGAGAATAACCCACAGACAATTATCACCAACTCTGCAGTTTCCCTCTTGCTTTTCAGCCACTTTTAGCTCGTTTTGGTTTCCCTCAAACTCCACTCTCATCGACTGTCTTCCAGCAGCAGCACACAAAGGCTAAAGCAGAGCTAAATGAGTCATTATTGGACAAACACCACTCCACTCCGTGTCTGATGGATGTGTACTATGCAACTGTTTGCTAACTTGTTTCCAATGGTACATTTTTTAGGCATTAATATGTCAGTGTTGCGTTTGAAGCTTCTTCAGCTGACTCTAAATGGCAAAAAAAGAACTGAATGCAGCTTTAAACAGGCTCTAATGATTTTTATTTTGACATTGGGGCCATGTGGCATTGTGAAAGTTGCACCACAAAAGTAAGGTCACATTACAAATTCAGTATACAATCCACAAAAATATTACTGGTCCTCACTCAAAAGTGGCATTAACATAACATTTAATGGAAACTGCAATTTAATGCTGAGACAAAATAATATATAATGTACAGAAAATAACAATAATATAGTTACTGAAATTATTTTCAGTATGAAGTCTTTTATTTTGTTATGATCTTGATAATGAAATATCACATTATTGTCTTTTGATGTTTATTCATCCCATCAACATTAAAAAAAATTATGGCAACCCATTGCAATGCTTTTTTGCATTTACTATACAAACTTTGTTGTTGTACGTAACCAAATTCTCTCACATATTTGAAATGGCCATCTGTCCTCTATTAGCCCCCCTGGGACGGCAGAGCAGGGAAAGAAGCCAAGGAATGTGGACTGAAGAAAACTGAGCATACACTTGATAGACCCACAGCTAAAGCATTGGGTCTTTTGATTCTTGTGAGAATCAGTGACGCAGGTAATTTCATTTATTTAAAGTAATGGCATTTAGGTCGATCAGAGATCTGCTGTAAAAATTCTTTCTTTCCACATACAACAGCATTGAGCAACTGTGAGGGAACATTTCAGCAGCGTGTGTCATTTGGGGGGAAACCTCCTGGTAGCAATTAGAACCCATCTGACTGTTCTAGTTTGGGATTTGCCTCCACACATACACAGAAACTCAGAGAACACACAGAGACAGAATGACACAATGTGTTCATATTACTCAACTCGCTCTCTACACTAATACTATCTTTGCTTTGACATTTTGTAGGAAACCATGGCAATGGCAGCGCGTGTAGATGCAGCGACCAGAACTTTTTCTTCTCTTACTTTTACGGAAACATGTTTACCCATAGGAGAGCAAAATCCTAGATGAGATCTCATAGTTGTTTCCTTCTTTTCTCCTAGACACAAATGAGCTGCTTAATACCAAGGTAACACCAAAGGCCTTTTCTCCCACTTCTCAAATTCATCTCAGGAGAAACAACCATATAAAATCTCATTTATGTCTGACTCTGCTCAAAATTAGAGAATTTAAGTCTCCTGAACATTGGACCATGAGATCAGAGAAATAGCTCAAAGAAAACTCAGCTATGACTCCTGTGATCTCATATTGGCCTCAGGAGCAAAAACTCATCTCTGTCTTACTCTGATCAAAAGATGAGATCTCTACAGTATCTTAAATAAGTGTCATTTCAGTCTCCAGAATGTGGATCAGCAAAAAAGCTCCAAAAGTTTTGTCTTAGTGACCCCACTTAGGGGTTATGTTACTCAAGTACTTTACTTATGTCAAATGTTGAGTTTGAGTATTTTCTTTTTATGGGGGTTTCAACTTTTACTCCCCTTAATTTCAAATCCTTATTGTATTTATTGTTAATTATCTGTTACAAGTAACTGAGAAAGATAAAATAAATTTTGACATTGAAAATAATGCACTTTCAAATGTCATGTTTTCCAATTTGATAAGGTAGCCAGCATATCTGGAACACTCTACATGATCTTTGTTGGGAGTTGCACATGTGCAGTTCCTAGTTAAGGACTACTAGCCAATCAAAAGCAGAGAAGGGCGGGTCAGCGAGAAGCCGGTAAACAGCTTCGGTTCAGCTGTAGGCTACATGTTGCGGACCAGCTTGGCAACAAAGACTGGAGCGAGAGTGGTGAGTTATTAATCTGTAACAAAAGTATCTTTCATCCATAAAGTTTTAACTGAGCTCTGTCTCTACATCACAGTATGTTTATGTCCACTGACTGCCTGGAGGGTAGCTAGTGTTTGGAAGGGAGGGGAGAGCTGTGCTGCAGCTCACTGTTTTTCCACCTGTGTGTGAGGGCGTGTCAGACTAGCCGCTTGGCGAGTGTTATATGTCGCACTTTTTGCTTTCATCCCTGTGTCGTCAGAGAGATGAAAGGGAAATGGCTGGACCGCAAACAAGCTGTTTCCAGGCAGTTCAGAGCAGAGTTTCCTTTGGCCTGCGTTACGGCTGCGCCACTGTTTTGACCCGTCCTCAGCCCGGCGTCAACTC